GAAGGAACTAACCTCAACATGATAAAAGCCATATATGACAAAACGACAGCCAACATTATTCTCAATGGAGGAAAACTGAAAGCCTTTCCTTTGAGATCAGGAACAAGACAAGGGTGTCCTCTATGGCCGCTTCTCTTCAACATAACATTGGAATTTCTAGCCAAAGTAATAAGACAGGAAAAAGAAATGTAAGGAATCCAAATAGGGAAAGAAGATGTAAAATGATCCTTATTTTGGAGATGATATGTTAAGTTACATGGAAAACCCTAAAAACTCCATAGAGAAACTAATCAAAACAATCAACCAAGTAGCAAACTAGCAGGATATAAAATCAACACACAAAAGTCATAGGCCTTCCTATACACAAACAATCGATCAGAAGAAGCAGAAATAATAATAATAATAATAAAAACTCTTTTCAATTAAAACCAAAAAAATGAAATACTTGGGAGTCAACTAACAAAAGAGGTAAAAGACCTTTACAAAGAAAATTACAAAACACTGTTAAAGAAATACAGTAAGACACCATAAAATGGAAAACCATCCCTTGCTCATGGATGGGGAGAATTAATATCATCAAAATGACCATCCTAACAAAAGTGATATACATATTTAGTACTATCCCAATAAAAGTCTCAATGACACTCTTCAAAAAAATAGAATAAATACTGATGAGATTCATATGGAACCACAAAGGACTTCAAATAGCCAAAACTCTCAGGACTAAAAAAGTATGAGAATTGAGGCATCACAATCACAAACTTCAAGCTATACTACAGAGCCATAACAATTAAAACTGCATGGTACTGAACAAAAACAGATACACAGACCAGTGGATTTAAATAGAAAACCAGATATAAACCCACATGTTTATGGGCAGCTAATCTTTGACAAAGGAGCAAAGAAGATACAATGGAACAAAGAAAGTTTGTTCAGCAAATGGTGCTGGGGAAAATGGGAAGCTACATGTAAAAAAAATGAAACTAGATCACTACTCAAACCATACACAAAGATCAACTCAAAGTGAATTAAAGGCCTCGAAATAAGAACAGAAACATAAGATACCTGGAGGCAAAGATGGGCATAATACTACGAAACATGCACTTCAGCAACATCTTTGAAGACACAGCACCCAATGAAATGATAGTGAAGGAAAGGATAAGTAAATGAAACTACATCAAGATAAAAAGCTTCTGTACAGCAAAAGAGACATTACAAAAAACAAACTGACATCCATTGAGTAGGAAAAAAATTTCTCACAGAAAACTAGTGATAAAGGATTGATCACAAAAATATACAGAGAACTGAAGAAACTCAACAAAAATAAACAGTCCCATCAAAAATTGGGCAGAAGAGCTACAAAGACACTTCTCCAAAAAGGAAATGCAGATGGCCAACAAGCATATGAAATATGTTCAGCATCACTAGTAATAAGGGAGATGCAAATTAAAACCACAATGAGATACCACCTCATTCCAGTGAGAATGGCACATCTTAAAGCAACTAGCACCAGCAAATGTTGGCGAGGATTTGGAGTAAAAGGAACTCTCTTTCACTGTTGGTGAGAATGCAAACTAGTACAACCACTATGGAAAACTGATTGGAGGTTCTTCAAACTGCTACAAATGGAGCTTCCATATGATGCAGCAATCCCACTCCTAGGTATCTACCCAAAAGACACAAAAACACTGATTCAAAAAGATATCTGCACCCCCATGTTTATTGCTGCTTTACAATTGGAAAGACATGGAAACAGCCCAAATGCCTAAAAGTAGATGACAGGATTAAAAAGATGTGGTACATATACACAGTGGGATATTATTCAGCAACCAAAAATCATCATCATAATAATAAACACATGCCTTTTGCAGCAACATGGATGGAACAACATGGATGCAAAAATAAACCATTGTTTATTTACAGTTTATTTATTTATATAAAAATAAACCATAAGTTTATTTATAAATAAACTTATGACCCTTCCTATTCTACAACCTGAAATAGAGACTAATAGGAAGTTCTCTAGCGTAAATTTCCTGTTCAAAACAACTATACATTTTTTGTCTTTAACATTCTTTAGTCCTCTAATACAAAGTATTTAAATTCTTCATAAGCTCATTTAATAAGATTGCTGCAATTATGTTAACTGAGGTACTGAATACCATTCTTTTAAATCAAAATTTCAGTATATGCATGTAAGAAAGGCATAAATCTGTCACCAAAGTTCAAGTGCAGGGTTTCTGGTGCAATACTTGTATGGAATGGCAGAAAAGGGTTTAAATGAGGAAAAAGATTTAAATGAGGCACAGGTGATCTCCCCTGTCTTGCCTGCTATTACTCTTTCAATAAATCTACCTTTTCTGTTCTTCAAAACAATTAGAAAGAGCTAATCCATATTTCTCGTTTGCTTAATTTGTTCTCTCAGATAGACTTGATAGATCAATAGTAGAAAGAGAAATACAGAAATTGATGATACATTTATATATACATAGTACATATATATATGTTACATATATATATATAATTTACTTTATACACTGTAGAAATTCTGCATAAAGAGATCATCAGCATATGGAAACAGCTTATATAAATAAGCTGTTGTCATAGTACTAGAAACAGCTTTTAAGAAATAAAAATAGAAAACTTAAATTAGACTATCATTTTCCAACTCTACTTTTGTCCTGATTTATTAAAACAAAAATTGGAAATTACAAATGTGGTGATGAATATAGAAAGGGTATAGTGATTTTTGTAAGGAATAACTTAAAATTGTCAGAGCTTATAAAATTAATTTTAACTATAAATATAGTTTAGTTTGTTATAGACTATATTTTGCCTTGTCACAATCACCAGATATTAGATTTATATCAATCACTACTTTGCAAAATATTTTTGTATCAGACACTCATTCAAACATTATGACACACAAAAACAGTCTAAATTTTACTCATAAATACTGCATTTGCATGTGTTAATAATCCTACTGCTCCTAAATATTTTATAAAGACAGAAGTTATAGTTGCAGTTTAAAGAATCTACCAGCTGAAGATTTTACAGGATGGGAATGGGAATGAGAAAGGCATTCCTGTTGCTCAGACAAGTAATCCTGCCAATAGAAGAAGTTATCTGGATCAATAGTGTACAAGCACTGTTGTCACACACCATGTAACTGCTATACATACAATCACCATGGCACTGGTTTCACTGGGCACAACAATAAGACTTCTCTTTAGCTTCTCTTGACTTGGGCAAATTCCTTATTTTGGTCACAGAATCCCCAGTTTCTCCTAGCAATATCAGACCTATTGTTATAGGGAATCCTATGTGAACTGTGTCATCTGTCTGTGGGTCCTCATCCACGTTCTTAGAATTTAATTGTACTGCAGGCACACATAAAAGGGTCAATAACAGGTTTATTTACAAAGGGGAGAGAAATAGGTACAGCCCAGGGAAAGGGAAAGAGATAAGTTAACTAGAATATCCTACCAGTTCACTGACCTGGAACTCCAAAAACACACTGAATGTTCATCAAAAGCCAAGTGACCAGCCACCAGCCACGCAGTACAGAAAGAGAGAGAGAGAGAAGGAAAAAGAGAGAGAGAGTGAGAGAGAGAGAGAGAGAGTCTAACATGGCTCCCTTATATATCCCTAAAAGTCCCAGAATGCTTGCTTAACTTCACCCTTGGGTCCTCACAGTTCTCTGTGGTATTCCTGGGAGTTGTAGTTTGCTGGAGTAGGGGGTGGAGTCCGCTAAACTCTGCAGAGTTCCTTCAGGATATCCTTTCCCCCTAACACTCTGACTAGATGATATTTACCCGTTTCCCTTGGCCTTCCCTATAAAAAATACAGAAGCATTTAACTTGTGCTGTACAAGGTTCACTCTCTTAATATTATATTTTTAAAAGGGACTTGGGGGCCTTCCCTCGTGGCAGTGGGTTAAAGTACAGCACAGCAAGCAAGCTGCAGTCGCCTCAGCATGAGTTCAATTTCCAGTCTGGAGGTGATCCACAGGAGGTGATCCACAGGAGGTGATCCACATGGCGTGGCAGATCTCTCTTGATCTGCCCGCTGCTCCCCTCAGCAGTGTACTTCATCAATTTGCCTGTTCTGCTCCCCGCTCTGTCTCTAGTGAATCCTTTCACCTCCCCTGCACCTCTCTCTTGTACCCCAGTTATGTATGCATAAATAATCTTCAAAAAAATAAAAGGGGACTTGGGGATGAAGTTAGAGTATGGGCTGATGCTATCTGAAGATTATCATTGACAGAAAAAAAACTTTTATGTGAACCACTTCAGCTAAAATGAACAACAGCATTTATAAAATCATACAGACAACACAGTTCTTAAAACTCAGGATTTTTTTTTTTTTCTGGGCATACAAGCACATATTCACTTTAGAAAATGTATGAAACAAAAAACATGTAATAAAGATATTTTAAAATAATAACCTACCTATATAAAACTGACATCTAAGACAGTATTATGTGCAATAAATATATAGTAATCTCAGATTTAATCTGTGAAATTTTAACTATTCTTGAGAAACTGTAAAACTCCTTGTCCTATGATACATCATAATCACCACTGCTGTTCTTATGAGTCCACTTCTGAGTCTGGTCTGAAATGAGTGAACATCATAGTGACTATAAAAGCCCAGTATCTTCTCTCTTCTTTGTGCCTCTGTGCTATACTTGTGTGTAAGCAATAACACAAATATTCATACCTTACTGCATGTGGCAGAAATAATAGGTTATGGAAATGATCACTCATTTGAAAATTCAAATTTTGCCTGTAAATGTTTATTTCTATATTTCCTTCCTCATCTTTATTAGCTCTCTGTCTTTTATCAACAAGATATCTGTTTTATTTCTGAGTATTGTACCTGAAAACTGTCAGTTTTTACAGGTATTTTTATAGGAGAAAACCTCTTCATCCTGCCCTTACACAGACAGGTCGATTTTCATTGAAAACGACTTCAAGCTGGTTCTAATATTTACTCACTTATGCAGGTGCGTTCATCAGCATGGAGTCTGTATCCCGTATCACATTCACAGTGGAAGGTGCCCAGAGTGTTAATACAACGCTGCTGGCAGCCTCCATTCACTACCACACATTCATCGACATCTAGAGGAGGAAGACAGATGGCCAGGATTACAATGTCATTCCAATGTCAGCTTCAAAGAAGTGGCAACAATATTTCTTTGATACACAGTATGTGTTATATTGTACAAAGGCACCGTCTCTGTGGCCACAAATCTTTTGCTTGTTTGATGTATTTTACTCCACAGTGTAAACAATAAAGTGCAGATAGAAACTTTATTGGACTTTTTAAAGCTCAACAACAATGAGTATAAGTGTTATTTCATTATCTTCTATTTGTCAATTAGACAGGTTCATGATAGAGACATGTACATAAAGGAACAAAATTGGAGAGGAGGGGAGAAATACAAAGAGTCTCTATCTGGAACAGCACATGTTTGTAGATAAACACCTTAATGCAGCTGAATTAAGCCATTGATAGAATTAAGACCTTGAATCTCCTTCTCATGTGCTAAGGTGGACATCAGGGAAAAGGCAGATAAACTTAGATGAAGCATGGCTTGGAGTTCTTAAAGTTTTATCAGTACATTTGCTCTATTTATTTGGTTTCTTTTCACTCATATTTCTGGATTTTGAAATAAATAGCCTAGTATGAGAATTAACTTAAACTTTAGAAAAGATAAAGGAGACCAAGACTCCTGAGCACATATGTCTTATGATGAAACAAAGTTTTGATTAATAAATATAATATCCATCTTTCATAGTAAAGAAAGGTTGATTAATAACTCAAAAACCTGTACTTGTACTCTGTAATCAGCACTTATTTTTCCAAAATCACAAAAAGAAGACATTCAGACAGAGTAAGTTTTTTCAGGTAATCATCAGATTAACAATATTGAAATTGTTCTGCTTGGATAACTGTTTAACTTCAAATCTGTTTTTTGCTAGGTGTAAAGTAAAAATCAGAGATAGACATTGAGCTTGGCAAGGGAAGGCACGAATATTATGCAAGGTGTCTCTGACTTACATATCTCCAAACCCAGGTATCCTGTCAAGGGACATGGACAGTGGTCACTAAAATACAAGATCTTAGATCCATGGAATAAGATCCTTACTTGACATCATCTTCCATGAGGAATACTGCTGTGCTATCTCATCATAGAACATTTTAACGAGTACCTTCCTGGTGGCCCAATCAGTTAAAGCACTGCTAGCTAAGTGAGCTAACCACAGCTGCTTCAGAGCAGAGTTGGCTCCCCAACACTGCAGGTGATCCACATGGTATGGCAGACTTCTTCTGACTCGCCCACTGTTTCCCTCAGCAGCGTACTATCAATCGGCCCGTTCTGCTCCCCACTCTGTCTCTGGTGAATCCTCTCACCATTGCTGCACCTCTGGCCTGCACCTCAGTTCTGCACCCATAAATAAATAATCTTTAAAAAATAAAAATATATTTTTTAAAGATTTATTTATTCATACAGAACTGGGGTACAGGCCAGAGATGCGGAGGGAGAGAGGATTCACCAGAGACAGAAAGGGGAGCAGAACAGGCAGATCTACGAAGTACACTGCTGAGGGGAGCAGTGGGTGGGTCAGGAGAGGTCTGCCACTCCAGGTGGTCACCTCCGGGGCAGGCAGGGATCGAACTCATGCGGAGGTGGCTTTAGGTTCTCAGTGCCATGCTTTAACCCGCTACGCCACCAGGGAGGGCCCCAAAAAGAAGAATTTTTAATGAAAACGGACTGTATATTCCTAGTGAATGATTTGTTCTGAGGTACAATCCAGAGGCAAGCAAAAAAAAAAAAAAAAAAAAAAAAAAAAACAAATCTTTAATTTGGCATTGAATTTTTTTTTTAAAGATTTATTTATTTATTCATACAGAACTGGGGTAGAGGCCAGAGATGCGGAGGGTAAGAGGATTCACCAGAGACTGAACGGGGAGCAGAACAGGCAGATTGACAAAGTACACTGCTGAGGGGGAGCATCAGGCAGGTCAGGAGAGGTCTGCCAGGCCAGGTGGATCTCCTCCAGGGCAGGCAGGAATTGAACTCATGTGGAAGTGGCTTAAGCTTCTTAGTGCTGTGCTTTAACCCGCTGCGCCACCAGGGAGGGCCTGGCATTGAATTTTTATAAAAAAGAAAATATATGCAGAATATTTGTTACAAAATAAGATCTACATTTTTAAATGTGTTAGCTGGCTATATTTACATTTTATATAACTTAGTATTTTACTTCTAAAATTAGATATCTAAAGTACTTTCTGATTTTTAAAGGAGTTTTATTTTAGAGATAAGCACTATTGACGCTCCCATGTGTTAGAATTTTTATTAAAATTTGAGTGTAATACAGCCCTCCCTGGTGGCGCAGCGGGTTAAAGTACAGCACTAAGTAGCTTAAGCCACTTAAGCATGAGTTCGATTCCCGCCTGCCCCGGAGCCGATCTACATGGTGTGGCAGACCTCTCCTGACCCTCCCACTGCTCCCCTCAGCAGTGTACTTCGTCAATCTGCCTGTTCTGCTCACTGCTCTGTCTCTGGTGAATCCTCTCACCCTCCGCATCTCTGGCCTGTACCCTAGTTCTGTATGAATAAATAAATAAATAAATCTTAAAAAAAAATTGAGTATAATAAGCAATCCTCTAAGTCTTTTTTATATAGACTCATAGCAAACAGAAATCTCCATTTGCTACTTATACTTTATGCAGAGATTTAACATTTATGCTACCTAAATTTTTATCTTCCAGCTTTTAGGTATTAGTCCTCGTGTTGGAGAAATAATTTGTATTATTAACTTTGTCAATTCCTAAATTAGATCTCCTTCTTATTATTTTACTTTAAGCACCCAAATATAAATCTTAACACCCAAACGTAATATGTTTTAAATGATAAAACACCAATATTTGCTATAAACAAAAATTAAAAAGTTATGTCAAGACACACAAAAACATGCATCTTAATGGAAGAACACACAGAAAAAAAAATATTTCTAAGAAGGAAGAAAGTATTTTGACTGTGGGAATTTGTGTGTGGTTGGTGTTGGACAGGAGATTTTTATCTATGTTTATTTTTTTAAAGATTTATTTATGTATGCATGTAGAACTGGAGTACAGGCCAGAGGTGCAGGGGCAGTAAGAGGATTCACCAGAGAGAGAGTGGGGAAGAGAACAGGCAGACTGACAAAATCTACTGCTGAGGGGAGCAGCGGGCCAGTCAGGAAAGGGCTGCCACGCCATGTGGATCACTTCCCGGGTGAGGATCAAACTCATGAGGAAGTGGCTTTTAGATCTTAGTGCTGTGCTTTAACCCACTGCGCCACCAGGGAGGGCTATCGTATATATTATTTTACATCATAAATTTATTCAAGCATTACTTGTTTAATAAAAAAAAATAATTTTAGAGAAAGAAGTATAACATGGCACCCTCCTTTCACTCCTACCCATAAAACTAATATTTTTCTGAGAAAAGAAACCAAATAGATGCAAAGAAGAAAAATCTTTGGATTTGTTTCAAATATAAGAGTGGACATTGATTTTAAAAATGAGCCACTTTTTAATATGCTTTGGTATGTTCATATTCTTAATGTGCCCCAATACTTTTAAAAATGTAATGCAACAGAATAAAAGCCGACACCTATGCAAGTACACAAACCAAGTCATGACTGTACTGTGAATCTGACAACCTTGAGGGAATTATCCTAGTATAGAAATCTCTTAATCTGTAAAGTTGCCTCTTTGAGACTCATTCTCCTCACTTATAAAGTGGCATAGTAATGACTGCCTGTGTGTATTATAGTGGTGATTTTTTCTGCCTTTCCTGTTCAAGCATAACATTTTGGTTAATCCCTGAGATGATATGTAGAAATTAAAGATCTAATAATGTTGTTGATTCAATAGTACATGTAACAATATAAGGTCCCAAAGTGAGAATGCAAAATTTAAAGCAGTGAGCGATATTGGAATACAGGGAAGGAAAATCCATTGGGGATGGATTCATGAGGACATTTTTTTTTTTTAAGATAAAACCTGAAACTGAGTACAGGGAGAAGAAAGCTGGTATCCAAAATTATAGTGGTTTGAATGTACAGTGTGTGAAAGTCGGTAATAAATAAGTCAGGTTAGAGAATAAGGATACAAAGAAAGTCAAGTCAAAAGCAAGCCTAAACTTTTTTGATTAATAATTGGGATAACAAAGTCTTCCTCTTATGATTTACAATGCAATATAATTCTCAATAATATGAGGTTGTCTCCACACAGTAGGTAAGCAAACTTGCCAGTTTAAAAAAAAAAAAAAAATTGGGCCCTCCCCTGGTGGCGCAGCGGGTTAAAGCACAGCACTGAGAATCTAAAGCCGCTTCCGCATGAGTTCAATTCCCGCCTGCCCCGGAGGTGACCACATGGTGTGGCAGACCTCTCCTGACCCGCCAGCTGCTCCGCTCAGCAGTGTACTTCGTTGATCTGCCTGTTCTGTTCCCCACTCTGTCTCTGGTGAAGCCTCTCTCCGCCCCTGAGCCTCTGGCCTGTACCCCAGTTCTGTATGCACAAATAAATAAATCTTTAAAAAAAAAAAATCAAACATTTACAGAGTACCTTGTACACAGATAGTTTTCATATATGACAGTATATATAACTATTTGGTGAGGACTGTAAAATGCCCATGTTCTTGAGGAGCCTAGTTGGTCTAGGAAGCAAACATTCTATAATCACCCTAAGTGTTTCAAATGGGTACTGAGTTAGATTCAGTTAGTTGAAATGTAGTCAGTTAATACTAGTATCACCTAGCATGATATCTTATTAAAATGCAGAAATTAATTCAGTAAATTTGGGGCTGGAAACCAAGACTTGTCATTTCTAATTGATTAAAGTGACCTGGAGTGTCTGACCTATGTATCATATTCTAAACAGCAAACATATAAATAGCCACTTGTCAACCTTTAATGTAACATAGGTCACAATCTCATAATGTGGTTCAACTTCTCAAATGTTTGACAAATACAGTTAAATAAATAAGATAAATGTATGCATGTATTTATTTAATATATACTTACATTTATAATATGTGCATATATTTATAATTAATCAAAAACCT